TGATGGAGCATCTTACCCCGCCGGTAATGCATAGATTTATCCCTGAACTAAATAGTTATCAGGTGCAATCTACGACCCACTTGAATGGTAGTGGGAGCAAGAGACAGCAGTCTAATAATGATCGTTGGGTGTTTTCTTACGCTGTAAACAGACAGTATTTTGGTGAAAACACGAGGCACTATCCTAATATCCCAAACTGGGTAGTTGAACAAATGGCTAATGATTTGTTGGGTAGACTGTATGAGCTAGATGCTGATAACATATGTATAAACTTTAACGGGGAATTCGGTTTATGGGGAAAATTGCAAGTAGCCAACGCAGATACTGCTGGAGGTATTGGTGCTTCCCAATGTGATCCATATTATAATAACGATTATGCTGGAGGAGGACATTGGACATACAATTACCAAGTACATGATGAGTTGTAATATAGAACTCAGCAGTCTATACAATAATACAAAAAGCTATATTTCTCTCTTTTATATCTTTGTCTTTACATTCGTTGGAACTCGGGATTTTGAGTATTTTTGTGATCTGAGACGAGGGCGTCCCTGCAATAATCTGTGGCGTAGAAACCGAAATAGCCTAGTCTGGCGGGCGTAGCTGCCGTAGTTGCTGAGATGAAGGCCTATGACGTCATGCAACATCGAGTGAAAATCTTCACCAGAAGTAGGTCAACTTGGTCCCAATAGGTCGCTGGACGGCACGGTTGTGGTCTTCGCTGTGCATTGGTGTAGTGTGAGTATTTATGGCTCTCTTGCATGGGAGAGCGGCGAGTTTGATCTATTATCTACTTGACGCAATTTCTGAATTACTATGGGGTATCAAGTACGACAAAAGAACCTATAGAATGCATGAGAGCTGAGGAATAGATTAAGCCTTCCAATAACACTTTTTCCCGGGTCGTTGCTGAGTACCAGATATGTACATTGATGACGTCAGCAGTCAAAATTCCATAAATGACGCCGAGAATATCGACACTACACCTGGAATACCTTCTCTTGTTTTTTGTCTTAAATTCATTATTAAATTAAAATTAAAAAAGATCTAATAGGCAAACTTCTATGACTTATGCTATCTGATACCTTTCAGAACTTCATAATGGCTACCATCGTGACAGATAGCTATCACCTGTTCACCGCTAAACGTGAAGGTCTTGATGTATTTTCGAGTGCCACCCGTCGAGAGAACTGCGATGTTCGTACGGCAAGCCAAAGCTGCATTTATAAGAACATATTCATCTCCCCAAGTTCCTTCTTTCTGCATTTCTTCAAGGTAATCCCTCCAATTCAAGTCGCACAGTAGCTTTACTTTCTCTTGACCTACTCTCTCGTCGATGTTTTCTGCCATGTAGTTCACAACCAGCTTTCTAACATCACCATGCTTTCTCTGATCGCCATAAAGAGCAAATGATATAGCTCTAAACATGCAATTCCCATCACCAACAATATAGCCTTCAGTTCTAATGTAATGATCAGTTATTTGATAAATATTCACGGATTCTGGAAAATTGCTGTCCAGTATGTTTTTCCATAGCGTATGCAATGTATATTTAGGCCTGTCCGCCATTTCATGGTGTATCTGCTCTGTAGATGTAGCTTGAACTGGAAGGCTGGTTGGTGTTGCTGCCCTAACTTCAGACTCGACGCACTGACGAGATTCCGCACTGTACAAACCATTATCCTCAGGAACAGGCCATCGAGAAAATCCATCATCCTGAAACATGCATAAAGGATGAGGTTCAGGAATACCTTCTGAACTTTCAGAAGAGATCACAATAACAGAGCCTTTTCGATGGGGTACAGGTGGTTGGAATAAAGGTGGACTAGCCAAACCTGATGAATTGTCAGAAGATAGTTCCACAATAACTTTCTTCTGAGGTGGTTCAGGTGAGTCGTACAGAGATGAATAAGTTGAATGTGATGAACCATCTGAAGCTGACGAACTATCATAAAACGGACTAGTTGAATGTGAAGAGCTGCCAGAAGATATTTCTGCAATAAATCTCTTCCGAGGTTCAGGTGTGTCGTATAAAGATGGACAAATACTTGAAACTGATGACTCGTGAAAATATCTTTGAGGAATAAACGTCTCCCAAGGAGATTCAGGAGATTCAGATAAACATGGACTATTATTTGAATCTGTTGAATTGTTTTGGATAGATGGTGTAAGTCGTGGTGAGCAGTTAGCCTCTTTAGTGGTATCTATGGCATCTTGAAAATATTCACTATCTTCTCCCTTTAGAAGTTCATCCCACAAAGCAGTACATTTTTTCTTTCCCATTTGGTTTAAACATTCTCGTTTCCCACACCTAATTGAAAAAGAGTCTGCTCGTCCGATACTATGATAGCTGTCTAATGCACCGCATTTTGGACATTTGAGTTTGCTTTTCACAAGCCTGAAAAAAGTTCTGCAATTATAAGTGTCACTAAAGAAAACATGACTAACGAATCTGATATTCTTCTCGAACACGTGACTTGTGATCTGGTCATTCCACCACGCGTTAACGTCGTTGTGTCTGGTAAGTTTTCTTCTAGAGCTGTTCCAGCCAACAGACTGCCAAACATCTGCTTCCACTTTGCTCCTTTCATTCGATACTTTAGTATTATTAGATCCTCTTAGCAGGTTATAATCTTGTACTTTGTTTATCAGTTTTTGTGCATTTGCAATGTATACAGATCTCGGCAGTTCAATTAATTCGAAGCGTTGATCATAAGTCCCACTGTCAAGAAGCTTGTAAATCAAGGCTATTTCTAAAGCCCATATTAAATTAGTTGCGCGTATTGTGGCTTCAACACGGAAACCTTGAATGGCTTTATCAGGTTTGTTACTAATTTGGTCAAAGGTTTTCTTAGCCGAATGATATCTACTTTTCAATGAGCTAATATTGTTTGCCTTAAACAGAGGAGGCTTAACTCCAATTGATCTGATAACATGAGCTATTTTTGAGTACATCTTAGTCTCTACCATTTGGTTTTCAAGTGCGAGAGTATCTACGAACTTATGTGAAATTCTTGTCTGTAAACGGACGGTTAGGTTAGGTTAGGTTAGGTTAGGTTAGGTTAGGTTAGGTTAGGTTAGGTTAGGTTAG